ATTTTACTTAAAATACAATATATCAATTAATATGATATAATTGCAATAGTTTTTATTTGATTAATTCTTTATAAAATATAACTAAGTTGCATTTGTATTACTTATAGTAAAAGTTTTTTATTTTTTTAACAGACTATCTTATATTACAAATAATAAAGAGATATTGTTGATCTGCAATAAAATACTTATTCTGTTTATTCCAACTTAACATTACCTTATACAGATTGATATCTTGTTATTTTAGATATGTATTAAACATTAGCAACTTATAATTAAGAGCTATATTAGGAGATCAAACAAAAGTTCAAGTTAACATTATATTCCTGATGCAGTTAATTACTATTTACATTGGTAATACAGTTTATACATATAGATTACCTTATATTAGAAAAAACAGCTTATATAAAATATGCTATTTGTAAGTTATATCTTGTTCTTATTTACTTGTTACCTAATAATAAGAATTTTTTAAAAAAAAATCAAAAGAACTTAAAATTAAACTTTGTAAGGATTCTTATTTGCATATAATACTTACATTTTTTGTTTTTAAATAATTTGTACAATTATTAGTTTACTATTTTTATTAGTTAAATAGTATAATTATCAAAAATAATTGTATTAATACTGTAGTTACAAGTTATATACTGCTGATTAATGCTAATTAATGCTGATCAATAAGACAATCATTCTGAATAAAACTATTTCTTAATATAGAATCATATCAAATTACTAATTCTTAAATCTACCTTCCATTTCTAGTTTTATGTAACAGCATTATGCAGCTAGCTTATTAGTAAATTCTGTATTTACTAGAATAGTTTGATGCCAAAAGTGTTCAAATTTTAATAAGTTCATTTCTTTTCTGTAGTTTTTTTTATGTTCACTGTATTACATGCTAGTGCAACTTTTCTTCATTTCTGGTATGTTTATTGTTTCTCTTACATCGATGCCAACTCTTTAATATTAAGAAACTTCTTTACAGAAACTTTCTTATACACCAATCTTCTATTTACATAAACTTAATCACAAGATTTTGCATATATTTATATGCTTCTGTAGATTACAGAGTTTTTGCCTTCAACTAAAATTGAACTATTAACCTTGTCTGTGGAAGGCAAGATGCCTAAACCATTGGGCTATAGGACTCTAACTCTTTATATAATAGTAATTAATATATATTAATTAAATGTTATATATCAATACAAATCTGCTTAAAAATTTTGCTAATTATCTTAATTAATAAAATACTATTGTGATATTAAAAATATAAAAATATATTAATACTTAATTGTGAATTACTAGTTATTTGTTTAAGACTTGTTTTAAATCTAGTTATCAAACAAAAAACACAATTAGACTTTTATATCAAATAAATACGCAAATCTAGATTCTTTATGCAGTTCAAAAAACCTGTGATTTGTCATTTAGATGAAAAAAAATTCTGATTTTGAACTTGAGTATATTTGTTATTGACTTTGATCTATGTTTGTTTAATAATCAACATAATACTGTTTTTTTAGCATGCCTTATGTTAGCAAATTTTGATAATTTCTGAGGGCTTTTGCTTATCCTTTTCAACCAGGATCTCATTTCAATAACACATACATGCACCATTAATGTCATTATCTGTGCATTCTTTTATTATCATAAATGCTAATGTGAATAATGTTATTGAATATTTGATAGAGCAAAAATAAGTACGCTAATAGAGCGTTGACTACATTCCTGTTTTTAATGTGGCGTGACAGAGTTGCGCAGTTACCTTATAATGAGCACTAGTTCTTCAAATTTTTGGAAGCTTGTTTACTATAATTCGACTGATACTGATGATACTGACAAGCACAAAAGTTATAATCGAATTTTTTATAGCAATATTGTTAACTTCGAAAGAATTTATGTTCGACCAGGTTGTACAATGATTTGGATAAAGCCACATGGTTACAGCGTTTGTGTTATAATTATATAGTTATTATAAATATGTAACGGTAATATAATTCTCACACATTCAAATGATTCTAATTTTTTATTTCATATTGTAATCATTTTTGGAATCGTAGTTTAGATTATTACAATCTGAGTTCTTGAAAACCATGACCAGAATTTAAATAAAGTTAGCAATGTCGATATTGATAAAATATTACGTACAGTTCGAAACAATTATCAAATATATCGTGATTTGCAACGTTACCCATTTCAAAGAATTGACAATCATAATTTATAAAAAGGTACATTTTCACAAACGGCTATCTAAAAATTAAAAAAAAGTAATATAATAATGAACGAAAGGTGGATAGCAGACAACACGCAAATTTCTCTAAGATGGCGTGCCGAGTAACCTATGAGAAACGAAGTGACATTTTAAATCGGGAATGCATTACATAACCGTTGTGCACATATTTGCAGCATGAGATGTTGCCAGGTTTGTGGCATAAACAAAATTCTTGCACGTCTTGAACGTGTGTCAGGCTTATGGCGCAGATTTCCCAAACTTTCAAAGCACGTCCGTAATCTGACACTAATTTCAATCACCGTCTAACTATATTCCCAGTGTAGTTAAAAAAATACCTGAAGTTAGAATTTTAAAAAACTTACAAATTCAAAAGTTGTCTTTTGATATTAATTAAACAACCATTTATATAACAATAATCAAAACTTTTAATTTTAAAAAATAACGAATAATTAATATTCCTTTAGTATATTATAATAACTTTATCCGTGCTAATTTTTCAACACTTTCTTACTTAAATGATACTTTTATTTTTTTCTTTTACTTTTTTAATGAAGAAAACTAAAAGAGCTGAATTCTTCTTTCTTCCACATCATTCGTAAACTCATATTTTTACAGACTTTTGATTGAACAGTCGCGACTAATATCATGAAGAAAAATATTCGGGAGATTGCACTATACCTACCTGTATTCCGATCTTTGAATAATCTTCGTAAGTTGAGTTAAAAACTAAAATGAAGTAATAACGGAAATGTTGTTCTTTCCATTTTCTTAATTCCGTTTTATATAAGTTTTTTTTTTTAAAATATATCCAAATTTGTATAATCTCGAGGCATTTGAAGGACTCTTTATATTAAATATATATATATATATTTTAAATATAAAATTTATTAAAAATTTGGTTCTTTTTTAAGTCTTATTAGATGTCGATAGGGTTATTTAAACTTTAATTTGCACAATTTACTTATGTTAGATAAAAAAACTAATTTATAAATTGCAAAATAACGAAATCGTTTTTTATATATTCAACTTTAACTTCGCGATAATAAACTTTCAAATTACTAAATACAATAATAGCTTTTTCATCATGATTTAATGCATAGCCGAACGGTGGTTAAAATCAGTGGCTTAACCTGTCACAGATTACATTTCAAGATCAGGTGCAGAGACCGTTAATATTACACAGATTAAAACTGGTGAGAGATTGATCGATCACGCGTGAGAGGGTCTCACTTAGATCGGGAACTGTCTCTGCTGTAAATACGATCAAGAAAATTCAAAATAAGCATCTATTTTTGTCAAAATTACTTATTTATAAAAAATCAGCAGAAGTAACTTCCTTTAGTGCTCTAAAAAAAGTTTTTGTTGGACAATTTTACTATATAAGCTACCCCTTTTAATTCCTAAACTTGACCCTAATCCTATCATAAGCTTTAAAGAATTTTTGCAAAATTCATTGCTATTAAGACTAATATTCGTATTTAAGTTAGAATTAACAAGCTGATGATTCATTTGGAAAATTTTTTATTGGGTAAAATTTTGACAATATAAATAACTTTGGCAAAACGAACGTTTGCTTTGAATCTTCTGTTCATGTCATGTTTATATGATCCAAAAAATTTATGTCCTTCGGGGAGCGCAACCTATATATTTACTAAATGCAATACCGATACTCCTTACATCCTCAGTCGCTATCTTATGAGTAACTGACTAAAGGCTCATTTGATATTCGAAACCCCACAGTCGATGTGCAGTATCACAACCAAAGATAGTATAAAAATTTTTATATAATATATTTCCTTATTAGACATAAAACAATGTCGCATTGCATCAAACCAATAATGCCTACCTTGTATTTTAAGTTTAATTAAAATAATTAAAACTTAATTTCTGGATTCAAACCGAACATTCAATGCATTCAACAACCTAATAACATATAAAACGTATTATAATTTACAACAATATAAATACTGCAAGCTAAAATGGTAATACTACCTCTACAGCAGTATTGCACCTCTAACAAGGTCAACTGTTTGGATCGTTACACAACGCCATTTATCTTTGTTTTTTTTCTATTTATGTAAATTAAGATATGCATGTGGCTAACCAAAGTTCCTATGTACGAAAATATATTACCATATATATAGTATATTTATTTTTTAAGTTAATAACTGACTAAGGGCGTCTTGATCATATTCAAAATTATTTACTCAGCTAATACAAATAAATTTTTAAGTCTGTATGTGAATTATAATATTACTTATATTGTATTCGAATATTTAATGAACTGATATTTATTCAATGTTTTACCAATATTAAAAAGTTGAACAAATGAATATAACGAATTTTTATTTTTTGTCAGATCAGACTATGAAGTGTAATTCGAACTTTCGATATGCAAAACAATTACTATAAATAGTAAAAAATATGCGTTATTGGTACTACATAATATGAAAATTTTATTATACCTGGTCACAAAATAATACTATATTGTACATATGCTGCAACTGAAAATTATTTGTATTAAGATTATTGTTTTTTTGACAACAAATTGAATACGTACAAACGCATAAAGAAGTTTTTATTATGCATAATTTTGATTAAAAGTTTCATGAAAAGGCACAAAAGATACACTTATCGATAAATACTACCTTCTTAATCAAAATGTATTTAAACAACTTCACCTGAAAATTGTTGATAATATAAACATAATACCCACCTCACTTCTATTTAAAATTTTCTACTCACATTCTTTCACCGTTCTTTTAATAACATGTTTCGTCTTTTCATATTTGCAACTTTCTTCACCTTTTTAATTCTTGGGTCTACTTTTGCTCGTAAGTTAAAAAACAGTTCACTTCTATATCAAATTTTTTGAAATGATTATATAATCTATAAATAATACCATCAAATTTCTTGCTCATTAACATATTTTATTCTTTATAGAGGTTTATAATATACAATGTCAAAACGAAATCACAAGAGGTGATGTCCTAAAAATAACCTGGGATCTGGTACATCCACCCCCAACTGACAATGGTGGTTATTACATTTATCTCGTACATGCTGATCAACCTAAAAATAGTACTAGTCTCGGTTATATAATGTTCAGTAATGTAGGGCATTATGAATGGGCTGTAAACGTACAACCTGGCCTTTATTATATTAGTATGAATGACCTAGAGTCCAATACTTTTATTGTTTACCAAAACCCAAGTGATTATAAAAAAATCCCTTCTGGTGGTCGTTTATATATGTGTATGGATATTGGCCCTGCATCTGATGATGATAGCTATAATCCTGATGATGATGGTAATAATTCCAATGATGATGGTTATAATTCCAATGATGATGGTAATAATTCCAATGATGATGGTTATAATTCCAATGATGATGGTAATAATTCCAATGATGATGGTTATAATTCCAATGATGATGGTAATAATTCCAATGATGATGGTTATAATTCCAATGATGATGGTAATAATTCCAATGATGATGGTTATAATTCCAATGATGATGGTAATAATTCCAATGATGATGGTTATAATTCCAATGATGATGGTAATAATTCCAATGATGATGGTTAT